GCCGGCCGCAGCGAGATCATCGCCGTCTCCTCCGCCCGGAAGATGGTGTGACCGGCGAGGATCCCGACCGGCTCGCGCCGCGTGACAAAGAGCAGGTAGTAGGCGTCGAGGAAGCGGACGGCGCCGAGCAGCGCCACCGCCTCAAAGGCGAGCACGAGAGGCGAGCCGCCGCCGGTGGCGGCGGCGCCGCCGGCGCCGCCTGCCCCGCCGGACAGCTCGGCGAGCCGCGCGATCGCCGCGGCGTGCGAGGCGAACTCTGTCGGATCCTCGGTCAGCGGCAGATGGTCGCCTTCGGCGCGCGTGCGGTCGATCGTCACAATGCGCCAGCGGCCGGTGCGGCGCCGGTGTCCGAGCAGGACGAGGTGCTGCGGAGACTCGTAGACCTGGAGTCGGTCGACGCGGGGTTTCATCATCCCTTGGGCCTTGCGTCCAAGCGGGCCGCCATTTTCCGAAAAGAATTTAACCCAGCGCTCACAGCACACAGGCTCGACACAGGTGCGAACTGGCGCGTGCTAGTACTATCACCGGCACACCGAAAAAGAATTCCGTGGATAATTTTCGCTTTTCGCGCTTGGCGACAATCGTCCTTCCAAAATCCTGCTCGTGCAGGTGTGGACCCTGAGAGAGATTTTAGCAATACCTTAATGTGATGTTACAGGTGGGTTAAGAGGGAGATGTGCGCGAGCTGCGGGACCGCCGGGACGGCGGGCGGGTGATTGCGCAATACCAAACAACTCTAACACTCACACGTAATTTGGGGCCTGGAGCCCTGTTCACGCGCGCGCGAGACGTGCAGACAGGGTTGCCACTCGACCGCATGCACAAGAAACCGCCCCCCCGCCCCCCGCGCCAGGGAGTCGGACACGTCCCTCCGCCTCCCTGTCCTCTCCAGACTCCACTAGTTCCACTCTGCCTCTCTCTCCTGGAGTCCCTGGTCTCCCGCACCCCACCCCTCACGGAGGTTCACGCCTCAGCGCCTCACAGACGTCCACAATACGAAGTGCAAGTAAATACGTAAGGTCTATCATAAAAAGCCGACACTCACCAGCACACCCACACCGCACACGCACGGAGACATGTACATGTACATGTCATGTTGTCAGATGTATGTCAAATAAATATTAAACAAATAAAACGGACACCTCTCTACTGTGAGATGGGTAAAAAGGAGAACAGGTCCCCGCCCGTGCGATCTTTGTGCAGGGTTCACTTTGACTTTGTGGGTGTGGGGTCGGCGACTACAGTACTTTAGCCGCCGTCGTCCTCCCGATGGGGGACTAGCACTAGCCGTCTTCCACATGGTCCCTCGGGTCCCTGCTGCTCCTAATCTCTTCGTACATCCTCCTCTGCTGTGTGCTTGCTGATCTCCGCAAAGTACTTTATTAGGAACACTCGAATAATCACTGATTAAATGTAATCACT